CCCTACTTGTTGAAGCTGGCCCCGGTTCTAGTAACTGTTAGGCGTAGGGATTTGAGGACTAATTCCACTGAGATATGGGGAGCATCTGAATCCAGTTGGGAAGGTTGGTTCAGGTTGCTCACACCTTACTACATCAACAAGGTGACTAACCTCATACCAACGTGAGCTCCCCAGACTTCAGTAGGTTTGTATGGGCAAGATCAAGGTGAGGATGGAGCACCCCCATATGGAGCTAGGCAGGTGAGATTTCAAGGCCTGAAAACACCACTTTGCCAGGGCATATGACCTGCCACATGGAACTAATAACAAATGCTAGTTTTTTTGTGAGGATTTAGTGGAAGGAGGGCCTAGTTACAGGATCAAGACTCTATTCAGTGGGAACTACAGTGAGTGACCTGCACAGGAGTTGAGCTAGTGCTGTAGGTATTGCCAGGTGGTCAATCCTTACTTCTCGGGTCCTACCCACAGAACACCTGGACAAGGTCCTCCAGATAACTCCAGAAGATGTGTCTCAGGTGCTCTTGGTGTGGTGTTCATGAACAACTGTGCTAAAACACCTTGAAGTAATATGGACTTCTGCTTATGTAGAGCCAACAGTCCTAGTATTTGCCATATTCTCCAAGAATTACGTGTGAATACCACTCAGGCTCTTCATGTAGCTTCCCACAGCCCCCACCACTGCCTTGAACACAAGTTACCTGCCACTGGTGGCAAGGAATTTACCCCTCCAGGTAGTTATGAAGACATATTTAGGTGCAGTCGTTACATAAAAGGCACCTGGCTTTGTGCTTCAGTGGTCTCTAAGTAGATAGGAGGAGATACACATTGCAAACTGTTGACCCCACAAACACTTCCAGTCTGGATTGTTACTACCAATTAGATTTTATCAAATGATAGATAAACTGCTGGAAGATAATCTAATGTCACCTACAAAGGGTTTCCGAGGCTGTAAATCTTTACGGGAGCAGAAATCCTCATCTTTCTCCCGCTCAACAGCTGGTAGTTTCGAACTGCTGACCCTGAGGTTAGCAGCCCAATTCATAACCACTGTGCTACCAGAGCTCCACAGCTAGATTGTTGTTGTTGTTGTTGTTGTTAAGTGCCGTCGAATTGGTCCCGACCCATAGCAACCCTGTATAGGGTTTCCGAGGAGCAGCTGGTGAGCTGGAACTGCCGACTTTGCAGTTCAAATGACTTTGCAGTCTGGCGCATTAACCCACAGTACCACACCAGGACTCCACTTAGATAAGCAAAGTAGAATTTGAACCTTGTTCTTCCTTGCTTTCACAGTCCTTGTTGCTCAACCTCTGTGGTGCAGTGGATCCTGAAGCCCCTTTTGTACCATGATGGCTGGGAGGGTCTACCAGCTCTGGCCTGTGTGATTCCAAGTACTCTTGTTAAGTGCCCTCAAGTTGGTTCCAATTCATAGTGACCCGAGCTTATAGGATTTCCAAGGAATGTTGGTGGGCTTGAGCTGCCGCCCCCTGAGGTTGGCGGTCCAGTATTTAGCCTACACCTGGACTCCAAGTAGATTCCATTTAAAGAACATAGCCATTTACTCAGAATGCTCCAGCCTTCAATTTTAAAGTCTGGCACTTGCAACTGGGTGGTTCTTTTATAAGATTGTGCTAACCATTCCAAGAGGAGCTCTGGTAGCGTAGTGGTTACGAATCGGGCTGCGAACCATAAGGTCAGTAGTTCGAAACTACCAGCTGCTCCGCGGGAGAAAGATGAGGCTTTCTACTCCCGTAAGGATTTACACCCTCGGAAACCCTGTACAGGGTTGCTATGGGTCAGAACCGACTCGAAGGCACTTAACAACAACAACAACAACCATTCCAAGAGTCTGCCCATGATGGGGGACACACAGTTCTAGACCACCAAGTCTCTGTCCTTCAGGAGCTTCTTAAGTATGGTGGGACCAAGACCAATGCATGTATAACTTCATGATGGGCATGATGTGCTCTAGAAAGGGAATCCCCCAACCATGAACGCAATCCAGGTATAGGCAGGTGGGATGGAGTAGCGACTAGACCCTGGTTTCTCCAGGTGTGACCACGTGTCTGCTTGTTGCCTGGGAAACAAGTCAACTTGGAGAGGTGTTCTTAAGGATGTTGTTATACAAGGACCTGCCTGGTTAGCATGGAATCAAGATCAGAAAAGAGCTATGCCCTGGTAGACTCCTCCACTTCCCCCCTAAAGCCAGGTCACACCTGAAACTTCTTATCCCCTTTTACCCCCACCCCAAGCTACAGAGCTTCAACCGAAGGAAAAACTCCTTGGCTGTGCTCAATTATGTAGGGGTTTTTGGAGCTAGAACAGGTTGCAACTTCTATAGGAGTCATTTTATGAGTGTACCTAAGAGAAAGTGGGGGGGGGGGGGCGGGGATTCAGTTATAAAGCCCACACCCAGTTGATGTCCTCATTGCCCACAATCTGTCTTTATCTTTGTCTCGCCCACCCCGTATTTTCTATCTGGAATTTGTGCTTTTACACTGCAGACAGAACCATGCCATTTAGACAGCTTCTTCTAAAACTAAGGATGACAGTAGTCCTGTGCTTACCACAGGCTATAGGTTCTGTGCTAAACCCTCTCCATGCATTCTTTCCAAGCTAGAACTTGACTCATAATTGGAACTCAAGTCTCTGTGCTTGCCTGTTTCCTTCTGATTCTCTGGCCTGCGGGTTCTCTGTCATGGGTGCACAGAAAAGTCACCATAGTGCTTATGGACAGACCTCAGATGCCTAGGGCTTGAGTCCAGAACTGCTCAAAGAGGCCCTTATAGAGACAATCCCTAAAAGTAGGGACCAGGATCTGTATTTCTCACAGGCATCTCAAGAGACCTTCAGGTTTCACTGCCCAGCATTCCTCTACGTTGTCACAGATTTCCTTCTTGTTTCTTTCCATCACTTATGGCAGCCCCCCTACCCAGAAGGCCTTCCTCCCCAAAGTGATCGTCTTCCTCTTCTGGCCTAGTGCAGTTCTTCCCATTGGCCCCACTGTTACTTTGTCGGGGACTGATTATCTTTGTTTCTGGTCAGAAGGTGTGCATATTCCCAACCAACTGGAAGCTTCTGAAGGGGGGCAATAGTCCTATTCCTTTTCTCCTAAGGTTCATCACTCTGTGTCTGTCTCTCTGTATGTCTGTCCCTCTTCCTTCTCTCCCTACCCTAGTACATGGTAGGAAGTTCATGTTAGTTACTTCTCAAACTGCCCTTTACCCTGTTTTATTTAGCTTTACCAAGATCTTGTTAAGTGCCGTCAAGTTGGTTCCAACCCATAGCAACCCTGTATAGAGTTTCCTAGGAGTGGCTGGTGAGCTTGAATCACCGACCTTGAGGTTCAAACCAACTTTGCAGTCCAGTGCATTGACCCACGGCGCCCTACCCGGACTCCCGTATAGCCTACGAAACCCATTGAAAAATCAACTTGGGAACACTTAAGAATGATTCCAAAATGGTAACTCTGAACAAAAGGCATTTGTGAACAACTATGAAAGAACCCTGTTGTTTATAGGAGGTAGTAGACTAGACTGTAGGAATTGTTGACTTCTTTGTCTGGAGGGTTTTTTTTTTTTCGGTGATATCTAAAGACATAGTTTTCTCTCCAAACAAACCCATGATAAAACTAAAAGTGCCTTTTCATGATGCCTTCCCCACAATTAACTATGGTAAGACATGCTTTTACCATATCATACCCCTTCCTAACCCATTTTTTAAAAAAAAATTGACAGAAAGAAAAACTATAAAGAGAGCAGCTCAGTGGTCCCCGAGCACGGGAGGCGCTGGTGGGCAACATTGGACCCTTCTTTCTTTTCTCTTAATACAATTCCTTTTCCTTGATGTTAATGCAAGTTGTGCCTTCCTAAAAGTAATAAAAGGAAATGAAGACACGTTCTGAAATGAAACTTGACTCTAATCCATTCATCATCTAATACTAGCCTCTTTATCTTCGCTGGTACCTAATCTGGTTAAATGTCCCTGTTGTAGGATTTTAGTGAAAATCCTCTATTGGGAATAGGGTTTTTTGCAATTGGATTACTCTCAGTAAATGGCCCAGTAGTTCGCTTCTTTCAGCTTAATTTTTTCTTTGTGATCTTGCTGGGCTAAGTTACGGCATAGTGGGGAGGGGAGGTGGGGTGGGCTGACAGTCGGTGGGAAAGAGAGGAGAATCATTTGGGAAGGCTGGGTCATGGCAGCCAGAACAAATCTTAAAATACATTCCTTTTCCTCTGTTTCTCTCCTTCTGCCCAACCTTCCCAAACATGAAAAGGCCTGCAGTTCGTTTTCTAGAACTTCCCATTTCTAAAATGCATACCTTTTATTAGCCCAATTTATCATCATCCAGTTAATTTATTGGTAGTCCCCCATGACTTCCTAATGAAATTCCGAATGATTCAGGCCTGCTACAATCTGTATAAAATATGCAAGTACCTGCTTAGCAGTTGAGAGTTTTCTGGTCAAGTTCACACTCCTAACCATAGCTTGCGTGGGGCGGTTGTGGGCCAGTGTAGCTTTCCTGCTGTTTCTGAGAGGCAGGAGCAAGGAGCTGGCTGAATGAGGAGGAGGGGTTTGGATTTGGGCCCCCTGTC